TTCAATTTTTTTTTTAAATTTTATGTAAGTAAATTTTAGCTTATATTTTATTAAGCGTTGTGACTGTTTATTGTTAAAAAAAAAATTGCATTTGAGGAGGGGTTTAAAATTAGATAAGTTTCGAAACTTGAAAAACGTTGACGTAAATATCTGTGATAGAAATTTGATTTGTTATTAAACGTAATTTATTTGTTTTGGTGTATTTCTCTTAACTACCGTGAATCAAATAATGGGTTAGTAGTCGAAAATGGATAAATATACGAGTATCTAAACATCAAGTATAAGAAATAAAGAAGTGGGTTATTGTTTATAGTATGTATAGTATAGTATGATTAACACTTCATTTTCTGAGCAGAAAATTTCACTGAGTTTAAAGCAAAAAGTAAATTGTAAAAGATTAAATCAAACATTTATTTTAGTATTTTGTACACTTAACTAAAATATTTCTATCATTGCGTAATTATCAAAATGCTGTTGAACTTCTGAGAACAAAAGAAATACCAGAATAGAACTACCAGAATATGGTATAATTTACCGTGTTTCTGGATCTATAAGAGCACCTAAAAGCACGGCAATGTTCACCGAAGTGTTTGGTAATGATTTTGGTAAAATTAAAATAAAATATGGTTTTATAATATCTCATAAAATTTGGTAAATGCGGAGAAATTTGGTAATTTTTATCATGATACCTTGGGGAATGGAATAAAAACCATTTATTTGGTTAAATCTACTTTTAAATTTTTTATATATACTAAGAGTGTGATTGTAAGGCAGTAATTTTAAAAAGCAGAATTCCCGGTAAACCGTTACCATATGAACGAAAACCGTTGTCATATGAATGGTTTAAATACAGTAGATTTTGGCTTTATTGCCAGAATTATGGGGTTTTTTTTTCTTTACTAAAAATGTCTTTTCGATACAGTATGGTAATTTTAACATAATTTTTTTCTCCGTGTAATAATGCGACAATAATATGAAGTGCTTTAAACACGCAAAAATGTTATGCACAGAATATGTAGTAAGAATTCGCAATGTCAAGTGATGTTTTACTTCTAAAATAAAAATTTAAAAAAAAAAAAAAAAAAAAAAAAAAACCACTGATGGTGGAAATTATAAGCTACTCAACTTAATCGTCCTTCGTAGCTCAAAAATATTTTAACAGAAAAAGGAATTTTCGCTTATTTTTATTTTTTTAAATTTTCCTTTTCTTAATTTACTTAGATATAATGTGTTTTTATAAGCGTAAAAGCAATAGCTTGATTAGCTTTACGCTTTAAATTATAATATTTGTGAGTAGATTAGTTAGTGTTAGTTTATACTATAAAAGATTTTATACTATAGAAGTAGCAAAAAATTGTTAAAAAAAATTAGTTAAATTCTTAATGTGAAATTTCATTGTTTACATTTTTCAATGATTTTCCGGTATTGCTTTAGTATTAATTTCTTTAAAAATAAACTTATACTTAGATCAGTTATCTTACTCCGAATGTTAAACTACAATATTTTTATGAACAATTAAAGAAATTATTAAAACAGTTTATATTTAAAAATGTTAAAATAGTAAAAAACAGTAAAAAAGTTAAGTTACGCTGTTGAAAAAATTTTCAGATCTTTTTTTAAGTAAAAAACCTCAAAATAAATTTTGTTATGCAAAATTTGCATTGCTATTTCTTTCCAAATAATTTTTATTTTACGATATCACTATAAAATCACTTCATAATTCGAATTTTCTAAAGTAAATTTAAATATTCTTTAGGTACTGTAATGACATGAAATAAACACAAATTATAAATTAACCAATTTTATTACAATATCTAATGAAATTAATTCTGGAAGTGTGGTCATATATTTTATTATTGAGGCATCAAAATATTTTTGTTTTCAATATGCTAAAACAGGAAAGAATTTATTCATGCTTTACAGAAATTCAATAATGAAAAACGACTTGAATAAAGCACAAATAAAAATGTAAAAATGGTCATTGGTTCTGTAAACAAGAACTTTCGTGAGTATCGAAACCCAAAAGATTAACGTAACTATAAAATATAGTGGAATCAAGTAAATCGACTGTTTTTAATCACTTAATTCCGCCTGACTTTGAATTTTCACACCGAGGAAATTTCGGATTTATAAAACCGAAACTATAGTATGTCCATTTTTTGCTATTATTTGGGCATTATTTACCTTTAGCATAATAAATCCTATCTTCATTTGGAGCTTTCTTTTATTTAAAAAGTATCTATTACTTAAATGATTAAAAACAATACCCATATGGGTTGATAAAACTAATACTTGAATTTATACAGATCTAGCATATTTAAAATTTGCTTATCAAAAATCAATTGACTTCAAAGTATATTAAAAATATGTTTTGCATTTCCTTATAAGAGTAAATAAAATATTTAAGATCGATGCTTGTATTGCATTTAAAATTGCTTTTAAGTAAATATTATTAAAAATAAAATTTTCATAAAATTTTCATTAAAAATAATTTAAAATAATTTTCATTTATAACTGCTACTACTAATGCTACTTTAATATAAATTTCACTCGGCAGCACTTGATTGAATACATGATTCTTTCACATGAAAACATGATGTTTTCACATGAACACATGATTCTTTCACATGATTCAAACATAAAAAATCTTCAATATGATATTTCAAATTATTATATTACAGACATATTGTTAGAAACTGTAATTTCACCTGGAAAAGTTGTGGCTTTTAATATGAACTTAAAAAGATGCATAAAAATATGCACATCAAGTTTGCCTTAGAGTTGCCAAATCAAATAAAATAAAGAATTGCACTTAATGGTTTTACTCCAGCAATATATAATTTTTTCTTAATATGAGTATTATGCTTGAGAAAATAATTATCGCTATATGAATTAATTGCTACGTAGTGCAATTCCTGTATTTAGTTATTAGTTGACAAGTTAATTTTGAAAATTGCATATCAATATAGTATAAGCTCTGCTTTTAAGGTAAAACATTGCTTTTTACGATACAACACGCGATTTAGTGAAGATTTTTATTATCTTCATAAAAATTTAATGCTTGATGACAGATAAATATACCTATCTTATACACTATGGAAAAATACAAACCTAACAAGTAGCCATAAATAAAACAGAATTGTTTTTCGTTTTTTTTAATCGCATAAAGTTGCCTTTTTAAAAGCAGAAATATTTTAAATTAGCTTTTCCCATTTAAAAAAAAATCGTAATGTTATTGTGTTTTAGAAATTTTGTAAATAAAAATTATTTTTATAGCGTCAGAAAATTATTGATAGATTTGAGATTATTTATTATTTTTTATTTGACAGCATAAAGCATAATTTATAATATAGTAAGACTAGAAAATTGTCTATAATAATATGAACAACAGATAAAATAAAATTTGCCTTTTTTTCTCGCATTCTTGGTTTTTTTTCTTGCTTTTATTGATTTTATGTTTGGAAAATTACTTTTTTAATCGTAGTAAGTGGCCGTTAGATTAGTGATTATTTATTATTTAACAACATAATGTAGATAGTATAATGAGCCTAGAAGACTGAATATAATAATACGAACAACAAATAAAGTAAAATTTATCTTTTATTTCTCAAATGGTTGCTTTCTTTCCAGTTTTTATTGCACTTTAGACATTTTGTTTGAAAAAAAAAACTAGTCTTATAATGTTAGCAAATGATAGTTTGATTTGAGATTATTTATTGCTTTTTGTTTGACAACATGATATAGTAAATATAATTCAACTAGATAATTGGATACTATAATATGAACAATAAATAATGTGGATTTTTTTCCTTACATTGTTGTTCTCTTTCTTGTTTTAAATGATTGTTAGATCTGTGATTAATTATCATTTTTTTACTAACAACATAATATAGTCAGCCTAGAAAACAGAATATTATAATATGAACAACAAATAAAATAAATTTCGTCCTTTTTTCTCACATTTTTATAGCGCCTTAGACGTTTTGTTCTCAGAATTACTTTTAAAGTATTAGCAAACAAGTGTTAGATTTGTGATTTTTCATTATTTGACAGCATAATGTGGTTAATATAGTCAGACTAAAAATCTAGATACAGTAATATGTACATGCACAAAAGAAATCGTCTTTTTCTCACATTGTTGTGTTTGTTTAAGATTTTATTGCACTTTAAACGTTTTGTTTTTAGAATTACTTTTAAAGTGTTACAAAATCAATGTTAAATTTGTTATTATTTATTATTTGGCAACATAATATAGTTAATATTTTCAGACTCGAAAATTGGATACAACAATACGAACAACAAAAAGTAAAATTCATCTTTTTTTCTCACATTGTTGCGTTCGTTCTTTTTTTAGACGTTTTGTTCTTAGAATTACTTTTTAAGTATCAGCAAATCAAAAAAGTATCAGCAAAACTAAAGTATCAGCAATCTTTATCATATCAGTATAAAAAAATCAGCAATAAAGTATCAACAATCTTTATCAAATCAGCAATCTGAAGTATCAGTATCTTTTAAAGTATCAGCAATTTTAAAGTATCAGCAAATATGATTGTTGGATTTGTGATTATTTATTATTTGACTAAATCATGAAGTTAATATTTTCAGAATGGAAAACTAATACAATTACATGAACAACAAAAAGTAAACTTTGTCTGTTTTCTCACATTGTTGCTTTCGTTCATTTGTTCTTTTAGATGTGTTGCTTTAGAATTACTTTTAAAGTGTTAGCAAATGATTGTTAGATTTATGATTATTTATTATTTGTAGTTAATATCATCAAACTAGAAAACTGAATACAACAATAAGTAAAATTTGTATTTTTTTTTCACCCATTGCTGCTTTCCTTCATTGCCACAAAAGTTTGCCATGCTTTCTCCTCATTTTGAGCAAACTTTTCTATGTTTTAATTACATTTTTTCCCTCGATTTCTCATGTAAACAAAATTTCTCACTTTTTCTTCTTTTTTTGAAAGGTGTAAATAAAGTTGAAAGGTCACTTACCACCAGCTCGCTCGGACCAGAGGCAAGAGCAACAGAAAGCCGCCTCTGGCCGCGTGTTCACACTTCATCCTCGGCTTCAGATTCTCATCCGGCACTCTCCTCCGGAATCCCGCCTTTCGTCTGAGGGATGCTCCCAGGATACGCCAATCAGCCTCTTGACGCCCGCCCGGCCCTCTAGTGGGCAGCTCTGTATCCACTTCACCTGTTTGACCACAATCATCCGATTGGAAAGACTTTTCATTCTACTCATCAATCTGTAACTCTACTTCATGCAATAATCCACGGGGATGCCCATGCGTCATTGTACTCGGGCGCTAATTTTAAGACACATTTTAGAAAAAAGATCCTTTTTCGATCCCAGTTGAAGTTTATTTAATAACTTTCAGTTTGCGCAAGGATTGAAAACTTTATCTGGGAGATTTTCAAGATGATAAATATTTTATAATCCGATGACGGGTTATACGTATCAACGATGCAAGATAAAGTTTTCTCTTTATATGGATAATTTGTCGAAGTGTGAAGGAAATATGCGACAAAGTTTCATCAAAACCTATCACTTATTTCCCTTCACAATAATATTTCATTTTATTGAAGATTTAAAGAACATATTTTAAGTCAACTTGCAGTTCTTTTTCAACTATTTCCTTTCCAAATATTAAAATTATCATTCCACTTACATTATTGCGTAATTTTCACTGTAAAATTTTGAGCCTTCTATTCATTTAATTATTTTTCAATTATTCAATCTAGATCAAAGTACAAGCAATCTAGACCCTAACATAATTACGCTATTTTCCTTGTCAAATTTCTTTTCATTCATTTAAGTTATTCAATTTTCTCAGTTATTTACATTTTTTCAATTATTCAACTTTAGTTAAAGTATTAGCATCAGTCTTTGCATTAACAGTATTACTCGGTTTTCATTGTCAAATTTATTTTCATTCAACTTGATCAATTATTTCAGTTATTTAATTTTTTTTAATTATTTAACTAGTGCTAAAGTACGAATATCATCCTTTATACTAACTGTATTATGCGATTTTCATTGTCAAATTTCTTTTCTTTCGAATTAATAAATAATTTGATTTGTCATCTGATTTTAAATCTTATTTAAATTTTTTTTCAATTGTTCAACTATTGTATTTATTCTTTAATTGTGTAACTATTGTATCTATTCTCTTTTTATTCATTTAAGTTAATAAATTATTTTAGTTATTTTTTTTTCAATTATTCAGCTTTAATTAAAGTATTAGTATCAGTTTTTACACTTGTAGCATTACGCAATTTTCATTACCAAATTTCACTGCAATTATTCAACTATTCCATTCATTTTCAATTATTCATCTATTGCTGCCTCATTTTAAAGCTTTTAAGCAATCTTTATCGTTAGATTTTTACGCAATTTTCACGATCAAATTTCCTTTCATTCATATTAATTATTCAACTATTTCATATATTTTCAATTATTTAGCCATTTTTAATTTGTGTTAAAGCATAAATAATCTTTACACTTAAATTATTATGCAATTTTACAATCTAATTTCATTTCAGTCACTTTAATTATTCAGCTATTTCATTCATTTTTCCTCACTCAACTATTTCATTCTTTTTCAATTAATCAGATATTTTCAGCTAAATTAAAGCATAAACAATATCTGACAATTTTCAATTCATGCAATTTTCTTTGATTACAAATCATTGTTCTCAAATCACTTATAATTACCTAATGAAAAATTCTACATTTACCTTCATTATATTAATTTCATTTAAATTAACTGTCATATTTTAAGTATACTAAGAATTTCTAATGTAGAATTAATCAACTTTCAAAAAGAATTTTCTGTGGTTTTAAGATTCTTTTAAAGCGATTTTATGCAGAAACGATTTTGTAAATGAGAAATTTTCGGAATCTTTTCTTCGTTGTTAATTTTATATTTTCATTTTAGGGAATTAAAGTTAACCAAAATTCTTTACAGTGATAAATTAGTTTACATCAGGCAAATCAAATTAATAATTTCTTTCTCATCAGTTTTGAAAGATAAAAACAATTTAAAGGCAAAATTTGAACATATTTATGGAAGAAAAACATTGACTGTGAAGTTAGCTTACACATTATAGAAGAAAGTTAACTTTAAAAATATTTTTTCTACTAAATTGTTTTGTGTTAACATCTCATAAATCTAAATTCATTGCTACCTACTCGTTTTTTTTTAAATTTACCATTTTTATATTTTACATCAATAATAAAAATTAATATTTTAAATTTGAAATTCAAATTTTAAAAATCTCAATAAATATTTATTATACCAATATAACTTCACACTTATTATTTACTAAATAGTTTTCGAACATGTAAAAAAGGTAAAGCTATATTCGTTTATGTGACTTATAGAATAAGTAAAGGTTAAATCTGCCTCCGTTTAAATGATAAATAAGATATAGATTTTGAGTTATTTAAGATGAGATACCTTCATAAAATAAACCACATAACTTATGATATTTTCATAAGTTTTTTTTTCTTTTTAATAAAATTTATAGTCAAAAGTTGCGCAAATTACTTTAACGCAAGTTATGAATCTAAATAACTAAATAATATTGAAAAATAATTTAATAGCAGCATTTCAGACATAAGCACTGAAATGCTGATAGTAAAAAGAAATGAATGAAATTACTTTCCCTGAATACTGAAACTTGCATAAAGATAAAATGAAAACTTTTTACCTTAATTACTGATAACTTAATGAAAAAAACTGGTTATGATATCTTTGATTGCAGATGATATTCTTCTTTTCTGTAAAAGGTAAGAACCTTTTTATTTAGACTCTTTCTCTCACTGAAAGAGATCATATAAAATGAAAATATTATGAATATAAGCATGAATATTCAGTAGAAATATTAAGTATAAATATTCTAGTCACCTCGACGTCGCAGTCCGAGACCTTCAGATCTTGATTAGTTCTTGATGTTTAAAGATAAACAAAATCTTGAATTGGTGTAAGGATTAAAATTTAAAATCCTCAACTTTAAAAAAATGCATTTTGTGATTTGCCTATTTTCTTAAACACGTATTTAAGGCTATCTCCAATTTCTTAAGCGTGTACCGACGATGTATATAGATTTGTAACCGTTATACTGAACATGTCTCTAAATTCTAATTTTTTTAATGCTAATAAATATCTATCGTTTATTGTCAGGCATATTTATAACTATTTGAGCTACTAATATTCTGAGAAAAAACGAGTTTTACCATCAAACAATTATAAATCTTTTTAAATTGATACCCCCTTAAAATTTTTATGTAAGCAGTTGTCAGTTATGGAAATGACTGACAATTTAAAATTGTTTGGGCAGCTTTAATCTTGATTTGAGGTGAAAAAGACAAGAAGAAAATTTGAATGAAAAGAGACCTCAAACGATATTCTGTAACGCAAAATTTCACAGCTAGATTACGGGCAGTGACCAGCAAAAAGTGTTCAAGTTACAGAAGATCGTAAAATTAATATTATGCCCGTAAAGCTATCATGACCGTAAAAAAAATTTCTAAGTTTTTTCTGCTGAATTTATGGCCACCTACCATAAGAAAACATTATGCTCGTAAAAGTTTATTTGTGAAATCTACATGCTCATTGGTGCTTGCTGGGATTAAACCAGGGACCTTTGGCTCAATAGTCAGATGTTGTAACCACCATGGAAAATGGTGCATTTCCCAGCCAATGTGAATTAGGAAGCTTTATTTCGCAGGAAAGAAGCTTCTCATAGAAAGGAGAATACAGAAATCTCTTAGAATGATATATATANCTCAAAGAATATATATATATGAATGATAGAAACACATTGAACTAAATTTTCAGAAATATTTTTAAAAAACTAAAAACGTTATCAGTGAATAAATCAAAAACAAGTTTAAATTCAACGTTATTTACGCAAACTGAGAGAATTAAGACAAAGGTAAATGGTCTTAAGATGTGAAACCCTTTATTTCCAGCTCATAAAAATGTGTAGATTTATACTCAAAATACCACTACGAGCTTCTTTTGTCATAATACACTCGGCTTTAAATTCTATAATTTAAATGCTTATAAATGTCTATCGTTTTCTGCCCAGGCACGTCTTTAAAAGTTTGAGCAACTAATATCCTGCAATAAAGCGAGCTTTACCTTCAAACTATCATAAATCTTTTTTAAAAGTAAAGTCCTTTTAACATTTTTGGATAAGCAGTTATTAGTTATGACAATGAATGACAATAAATTTAAATAGTTGAGGCAGTTCTAATCATGATTTGACGTGAAAAGGATCGGAAAATAACTTGATTCAAGAAGTTGTTTTAAAGAAAAAAGTCAGAGACGATAGTTATTTTTTGATATATTTGTTGAATCTATGCACCTTACTGAGTCAGATATACGTGACTTGAAATCTACTTTTCGAATGTTCAACGAAAATAACAAGACATCAGATGTTAATGATTTAATCCCCTGCTGTTCCTTAGATCTAAAGCAATGGTTTCTTATTTTTCGCCCTGTGGGTTCGTTTATTATCTCGGCTACTGAATATAAAAAAATTTTAAAAAAATACTGCCGTGTTTTTTTAAAGTACATTTTCTAAGAATCTTAAAGAAGTTAATTTACTAAAAAAGCGTTTATTTGAAAAATTTGACTATGTTAGTTAATTTAAAATTTGGAATTATGGCCTTTAAAATAATTATTTTTATTATTATTCTATACTAAATTCTAATAAAACTCTTCATTATGGTAAATGCTATATTATGGTAAATTCCATATTATGGTATTCTAATGAAATTCTATATTATGGTATTCTACGAAAAAAAAAAAAAAAAAAAAAAAAAANAAAAAAAAAAAAAAAACAGGCAGCAGTATGTTTATTCAGCTTACGGTTAGGATTTTTTCGTTCCTTTACGGTTATGAAGCCATTTACAACTGATATTGTTAGAAAACCATGAATACGGCTTTCTAATTATACACAAAGTTTGGTTTCTAAACCGTAAAAGAAAATTTAACTGGACATTGAAGTAAGGTTGTGTTAGGCTTTCCATTAGGTGATAAACATTAGAGTTGTGGTTGAATTGTGTTTTATCAAATGAACCGTGGAATGGGGCTTAATTAGCATATTTGGTGATGCCATTAATAGTGAGAAATATTAGACTTTTTGTGTTAAGAAGCTCCCTGTTACTGTTATCTATGTGAGAGTGAGAGTTTCTCATTCTAATAGTCCCGGTTCACTAAGTGGGGAGTGCAGGACACAGAGCAGCTTCATCTGTTGAAGGAATAGAATAAATATTGTGGTATGAAAGCTGGGATTCGAACCCTCGTTCAGCCGGTA